AGCGAGAGAAAGTTTTTCTTACAAAACCTTTCATTATTGAATCATGCTAATTAACCACGAACGTACGTTTTTACCTAAACAAGTTTGCTCTTTTAAAAACAGGATACGCCGGCTAACCACATGGGAGCAGTCAGCCATAACTTTTCAAGTTGTGCAATTATTTTTGAGGATTGTGCTTTTGCCTTTAGTGATGATAGATATATTAATAAATATGTTTCCCAGAAAATCATTTAATAATTGCTCTTACCTTATCACAAATATTACAAATTTATTTCAACGATTTCCTTAGATTTTTTTAAAAGCACTCAATGCAAATACTATATTCGCTGCGGCGAGGACTACGTTGGCTTAACCGTACAAGCGTGTGTTAGAAAGAGATGACTGAATCGTACATTTGTTTGTTTTTATTTTTACGTACTATCCAATAGCGCCGTGGAAATAATTCTTTTGCTTCGTTTTTAATTGATTTTTTGTTCACTATACAATATACTTAATAAGCTTATAAGGATATACCTTACTTTTATAGCTCGGATTCCTACTTTAATGTATTATAATCGTATCAACCAATGCAAATACATACAAAAAGGAACNTTTTTAATTGATTTTTTGTTCACTATACAATATACTTAATAAGCTTATAAGGATATACCTTATTTTTATAACTCGGATTCCTACTTTAATGTATTATAATCGTATCAACCAATGCAAATACATACAAAAAGGAACTAGAATCACACCCGAAACCCAAATAGCAATGGCAACGAACAGCGACGTCAACTGCGACAGCGACGCGACGACAAAACAGAGACGGCCTTTGCGACAATGACGGTGATGATAGAATACCGAGTGGAGAGCACTTTGCAAAACTCGTTTACGACTTTTACATTACCTTCTACTGTTTGTATGCGCTTGCACTGATTGAAAAGAATAATTACATTTGATTTTGTGAAGTTTGCGAGTATTTTTCGCGCACAAACACACAAAATTTCACCAGAAAATCGTTATTTTCGCGGAGGCAACGAAATGAGACGACGTTGATAGAAAAAGTTCGGCCAGAGCTGCCAACTCCTTAGCAATGCTAAAAAAACACTACATCAGCGAGTGGTACTCGTAACTTTTTAGCTATCGATTTTAAATAACAATCGGTCTGATTGGCTTTTTTCACTTTTAATTTAACTGTCAAAATGGCTTTGTTTCTTTTCTTTTCAAACAGATAAATTTCAGGAAGAAGAAGAATGGGAATATTGAGAGAATTACGATCACAGAGAGCGAAATAAAGAAAAATTAAAGAAATGCAAAACTAGCAGAAATTAGCAAATAAACAGCTGACCGGTGTTAGCTTGTTTATTCATTTTGACAGCTGCTAGTCTCTGCAAGTAAAAATTTTACTAGCAGAAATTAGCAGGGGGCCTAGAAAATAAGAGTGTAAGAACAAGAGAGAGCTGCTAGTTTCTGCTTGTTTTTTGGGATAAGAAACGCTTTCCAGCAGAAATTCCGAAAGGCCTAAAAGATGCCAACTTTCAAACGCGTTTCAAGCTNCAGCTGACCGGTGTTAGCTTGTTTATTCATTTTGACAGCTGCTAGTCTCTGCAAGTAAAAATTTTACTAGCAGAAATTAGCAGGGGGCCTAGAAAATAAGAGTGTAAGAACAAGAGAGAGCTGCTAGTTTCTGCTTGTTTTTTGGGATAAGAAACGCTTTCCAGCAGAAATTCCGAAATGCCTGAAAGATGCCAACTTTCAAACGCGTTTTAAGCTTTTTAGGCTTTTCAGGCGTCGTCTGAAAGTTATTCCTTCGAACATTACAATGCCGTAATCGATAACACTTAAGAGCGAAATACACAACACAAGCGGCTTGACAAACCCAGCGAAATATCCCTTTGCTTCAAGCTATTAATTAATGGCTGCGTTTCTTTATACATTCCGGATAATCCCATTTCTCGTCCGGAATAAACAGAATGCCTTTGAAATATACGTTAACATATCATCAGGAACGTTCTAAAGAATAAGTAAACAAAAAAGTTTATTCCAAACGTTCAGNGAATGCGTTTGAAATATACGTCAACATATCATCAGGAACGTTCTAAAGAATAAATAAACAAAAAAGTTTATTCCAAACGTTCAGAATGAATAAAGAAATGCAGCCAATACGTTTATNAAAGTTTGCGAAAGCGGGTTCGTCAGCTGGGCGTTTGTTTACATCACAAGCACCACTATTTTACACTTTTATTCAAGTAAAGAAGAGTTAATTCAACATGACAACACATTTTAAAGCATTTTGTTGCATCATTTTACCTAAATTGTGCGTTTAAAGTGGCTGACAATAATTTTGGCTAATTTTGGTTTTCGTTGTTTTCTTTGCTTTGTTTACTTTTCGCTCGTTTTCCAGTGAAACAAGATGGCGTAGAACCCGCTAAAAAAATCGACTTTTTTCACTCTCTTGTTCTTACGTGATCTTGTGTCTTTCGTTCATGGTTTATACGCACATCTTATTTGCAAATAACAAGTGAGGACGTAGGAGAAAAAAATTAAAGAAAACCACGGTGCAGCGAACAAAGGTGGCGCCGTCAGTGGTACCGCTACTTTGGTTTTGCCGATTTTGACAGTTGTGGTAACTTGTAAATAAACCTTTGTTTACAAATCAGCTAAAGAGAAATTTAATTATAAGTGAAAAATCAGTTTAAATTGTGTTAATTTGCAATTTGCGAGTGATTTTTTAGTTGAAGACTGCTTAAAAACTAATTCAATGAAGTGCTGTATGTTATATTGCGACAGCCGTCAAGATGCAAGAAGCATAGATGCAAGTGTAANAAATTAAAGAAAACGATAATTTTTGACGTTGTGAACTAAAATTCTTTCCTTTAACGAGCCATGTTTGCATGTTGTAGTGTATTTCGCTCTTTACCATATTTTAAAGGAATTTTACACAAAGTTTAGGCAATTAAATGCAGGCAAAAATTATTTATTATTTGAACTGGAGATGGGCGCGGGGTATCGTGACCCGCGAGACCCACGGTACTGATTTCAAATTGGCCAGGATGGGCGGTATCGGGAAGGTCTGTGAAATTTTGCGGACGTGACGGGACCAAAATCCTTTCCCGATAAAACCGCAACCTCAGAAAATTCGGAAAACCTTCCTTAAAAACGATGTGTGAAATATGCACTTTTTATGTTTTGTTGGGACGAAAACGAACGGCGAAGCAAAACCAAATAATCGGAAGATGCCACATCTTTCATTCGTTTTTTTTTTGGTATTTAACATTAATTTGAAAAGCATGTGAATTTTTTTAGTGATCGGTTTCGGAACCCGAGGTATAATTCTGAAAAACGTCGGGATGGGCGGGTTCGGGTCTTAAAAATTGAATTTAGATGTGGGCGGGATCGGGACCAAATATTTAGTCTCGTGCCCCTCTCTAGTTTGAACATTAATAGAGGTCTTCATCAAAAGTGATAAACTGTTGAGAAATTTGATAAAACGATAAATAATTTTGATAAATGAACTGTCAAACTTTGTCACTTAGTCAAACGATTTTTGTGGATAAATGTATAAATTTCAGCAAGATTCAACCTTGACAGTTTACCAGGTTGTCAGTTTTGCACGAACACATAAAAAGCGAATGAACACTATGGACGAGGTAAGAATCAAAACGTAACTACCCATATATGTTACATAATACAAAATTTTATTTGCTAATCTTCCACTATTTTATAAAATAATCATTTAAAATTTTAGGAAGAGAAAATTCAAAGATTACTGTATAAAATGAATATGTTTGCAAATATTTACTGCATGTGTAATGTAAAGAAACTTTAAGCGCGAAAAGCTTGTTGTGGAGTTGCTCGCATGAAAATCCTGCAAAGCCTGAACGACTTCGAATTAGGAATGTTCGATATCGTATCGTTTATTCTGAATATCGATATTTCATGGCACGATAATCGATTTTCATTGGCATCACTGGAATGCACTACTGGAAGTATAGGGTGATATAGGGTTAAACGAATGAGCCTCCAAAACATAATGTCAAAATTCGAGAAAAAAAATTTCATTAATTCTTAAAAATTTTCATTAGCACCCTCCAGAAAAAAACTACCTGCGTGAGAAGACATTAAAAAGGTAGAAGATAATAAAATTACCTTTTAGAATTATTTAATTAACACGGTTTTGTTGGTGGTTGATAAAAGGTGACGTGTGTGTGTGGGTTTTTAGGATTGTTTGAAAACCACAATCCAAGCCCTTTGAACGCACACAGCTTCGGTGCACCTGCGATAGCCAAGTAGTGCACTCGTCACGTAGAGGGTGGTGCGCAATAATTTAGCAAGTAATCGTGCACATCGTACTGAATTCAATAATTGAATTTAAATTGCTACAGCGAGAACGAAAAAACACTGGCTCAAATGGACGGCAATAAAGACGAAGCTCATCGCTGTATAGATATAGCTGTACAAGCATTTGCGGAGGGTAAAATCGAGAAAGCTGAAAAATTTGTGCTAAAAGCCGAGAAATTGTTTCCAACTGCACGGGCCAAGGGTGAGCATAAATAAATCTGTGTTCATATGGAATAGTAGCTTATGTCAGGAAGCTGGCTTTAGTATAATGCGGCATTCCCTTTATTCTTTAAACGACGAAGAATGACGCATTAGACCAGCATTTCGACATAATCTATACCATAATAAAAATGTTAAACCTTAACGCGAATTCCGTTTAAAAATTATAAATTTTTTATATTTCTTCGGTCAGAGTTACTGGCTAAAGTGAAGTCAGGCACAACTACAGGTGCGGGCAAAACGAGCAACAGTACAGGTGGCAACGGCACGGCCCACCGTGAGACCACTGCTACTGATGGTCCACGTAAGCGCAAGAACTCTGACTCTCGTCATGCAGAGCCGGAGTATACGAAGGAGCAACTTGAGGCCGTACGTAAGGTTAAAGGGTAAGTGATTATAGCTTTATTGTTGCACGTTTTGTATAAAATTTTTTACATATTTTAGTTGTCGCGATTACTACGAAATTTTAAGCGTTACCAAAGAATCCACTGATTCGGAAATTAAGAAATCCTACAAGAAATTGGCATTACTTTTGCATCCTGACAAAAATAAAGCACCTGGCGCTTCGGACGCCTTCAAAGCTGTGGGAAACGCTGCTGCTATTCTCACAGATGCTGAGAAACGTAAGCAATACGATCTATATGGCTTAAATGAGACACACAGCAGTGGACACGGTGTTCGCAGAGACAATTACGAGTATGCATACGCACGCGGTTTCCAAGCCGAAGTTAGTCCTGAAGATTTATTCAATATGTTCTTTGGCGGTGGCTTTGCCCAGCAAAATGTATACATGCGTCAACAAAGGCGTCGACAACAGCATCGTGATGATGGCGAAGTAAGTGTGAATTTTGATTGGGAACATTAAACTTTATTTATGCCTATTGCAGCATCAATCGAATTCTTCGGCGCTTATAAACTTTTTGCCCATACTACTTTTGATTGGTTTATCGATGATATCCTCGTTCTTCATATCGGATCCGATTTACAGCTTAACGCCATCACAGTGAGTTTTTTTTTTTTGTCAATTAAAAAGAAAGTAAATCTGTACTTAAATTCTTTTTACAGTAAATATGCTGTAAAACGTGAAACAAATCGCTTAAAAGTTCCGTACTATGTGAAGAATAATTTCCACTCCGAATATCAAGGATCCGTTGGACGTTTAGAAGAGTCAGTGGAGGAGGACTTTATAGACCATCTGAAGTATTCTTGCAGCCGCGAGCGTAATTACCGTAAGTAAATTAACTTTGGACCGGTTATAAATTATACCATGACGGTTTTATTTCTAGGTGATTCTATGTTGGCAAAAGCTCGCTCGTTTGGTGATCGCGAACTTTTCCGTAAAGCACAAAATATAAATATGCCTTCGTGTGACAACCTACAGAATTATTTGAATACGTAGTTTATTCTAAAATAAGTAAATTTGTTTGTTGTCTTCGTTATTGTGTTTTTAATACATTACATTTATTTACATATAATTTAAAATCTTAGTAGGAAAAAATGGAAATCGACAAAATATGTACGTGCGTTCCTAATTGAGAATTTTAGCTAAAGTAACTTCCGAGGATAACGACCGGGTAAAACAAAAATTTAAACTTATGAGCGCGTGTATGTTAATATTACGCTGTTTTGATTATCTTATAGCTATTTTTCAAGCAAGTTTTGGAATAGAATCAAATTACCTTACATAACATGCATATTTAGATTAACAAAAATATAAAACGCTGCTTTATTTAAGATCAGATAGTTTGGCAATAAATGCAATAGTCGATATCTGTTGACGTTTTCTTTATAATACGAAGGATGCAAGCAAAATTCTATTTTAGCAGCATAAAGCGTTCCAAAAAAAAGTGGTTGGGTCTCTGGAGTGACAGTCCTTAGTCAGGAATAAATGTTGCTCTCTTCTTAAAGACCCCACAGCCACTGGGAAATCAGATTTACAATGTCGATTGTAATGGATGGAAACTGCTGAATTTTTAATCTTTTTTTCTTGATGGTATCCGAAAAAAGGTATTTTCTCTTTTTAGTATTTAGTTAGTTTTATTTTTTTATAAAATATGGATTAAAAGTATGGAAATTATAGCCCTTGCGTGTTGTTTATCAGTTAATGATTGGCGTTCCAAAATTCAATTGGCAATAATCGCCTCCAGGGCGGCAACAACATCACCACTCTGTTCGCGAAGCACTTTCTCTGCTTGAGTGCGTGTAATTAACATTTCATTCATCTAAAAATAAAAATGTAAATTAGAAAAAAACCTCACAATAGAAGCACCGCTGGTTTACTTACTATCAGTTCAATGTCCTCTTTTTTCACATGCACTTTCTGGAGCTCCATTTCTTTAGCAAATTTCCGCTCATCTTCTTTACTCCGCTTATTGCCTATTTGCTCAACGGCCTGTTTAGTAATTGTTAGATAAATTTTATTAAACAAAAAACGTATGGTCACTCACGCTCGATATGTGCGCTGCCGAGATTTCCTTCTCCTCCGCATAATCAGTCACACGTTCCAAATCTGCTGCGCCGCCATCGTGACGGGTTTGTTTCTTCTGCTTCTTATCCTGAACATCCTCCTCAGTGCCATTAATTTCATTTTCAGACATTTTCGATGTTAAATTTACCAAATTAATATAATTATTATCTTTTTACTTTAAAATGTGCGAAATTGTTGAAAGAGATCACAGCTGGAAAAGGGATGAGTGCAAACGTCAAAGCTGTGTTTAATAAGTACAACACATTTTAAGTAATGCCTGGGTTATAATGGAAGTAATGCAGCGTTTTTGCTGCATTTAAAATGCAACATTTAGCACTTTCGAACATATGTTTTCGAAGAGCGTTCATGCTACCGCATTTAGCAAATGTACATTTACGCGAGTTCGAAATCGTATGCTTCTGACAAACAGCCGTGTTCCAGTCGCTTATTCAGATTCGTATCTATTACGATAAATTCTCACAGAAAAGATAATGTGCAAAAACCCCTACTGAAAAGGAAAAAATAAATTCTAAACCGAAAATTCAATACAAAAACTTGAATTGTTTTAACCATAACCGAACATTTGTTTGTGTATATATTCATTTGTCGGTGCTTTCAATTATAATTTTCATACTTAATTAGGAAACAAAATAAACAGAGTTGATCACAAATTAATCCAGATTTCTATCAGCATCATATCGATGTTGAATTTGCGTAACTTTTCTTTATCCAAATAGTGTAAAATAATAAATGAAATCTCGATCGGCGATCACTGAAACGCAGCTAGCGACTGTATACTCGAAAAAGCAATGTTGCCACTTTTTCACATTAAACCATGTTCGAATCGTGGAAATTTTGGAAGATCACAGGGTTGCTTTTAGCATTTAGATTCTTAATGCATAAATGGAGTTGCATTTAGTTGCATTTAGGTGACGAATTTTGTATGGATAAATGTACATTTAGAGAAGCATTTAGAGCTAAATGCGCTAAATGTGCTTTTACGCGTAAACAAAAACAGCCTATTACGGAACGGAGTGAACTTTCACTTAATTATCTATTATATGGGAAATGAATGCAAATGGTTATAATGCACGTAACGTAACGTAAAACGGAATTATCTAAAATAAATAGATAGATAGATAGTTGGTGGGGTAAGGCACTGCGACCACTGGGTCTATTGTGTCCCATCTAAAATCACTAGATCCTTACGAATTCGCCGCGATTAGTTACGATTCGCCTCGTCCATTATAATCAAGGCAAAAATCAATAGATCCTTACGAATTCGCCGCGATTTGTTACTATTCGCCCCGTGCATTATAACCAAGGTATAAGGCAGACTAGACACAAAACGACATGGGTCTGTACAACTTTAAAAGTTTGACCAAATCAGAAGTTACCCCAAAGAAGGTAAATTAAATTTATTTATTAAATTTAGATTTGCGTTCTTTGGTTGCGGTTACGTAGACCGGACTGTCGTAGGAACGTACGTAATCTTGTATTTTTGGGTGCATGAAAAACATTTTGAGTTGGCAGCATAGCACCAGTGGATTGGGTATTTTTTGGGCTTTTGTCATTTCATTTTAGTTGCCGATTTTCGTTTCACACTTTCGTTCGCATCGGAAAAGTTGTGCTGGGTTCTCGTGTTCTGCTGCTGGATTTTCAACGCGAAAAAAGAGTGAAAATAATATTTTAATTACAGTGAATTTGTGTAAAAACTATTATATAAAAGGTAAGTAGCATGGTTTAATAAAAATTTAATTGTAATTCGACGAATTGTTGCCGTAAAATTAGTTTGGAAATTTTGCAAAATCGCGCCGAATGTGCCTCAGCAAGCCATCGTTTCAAGATGGCGGACAATGGTTGGCGGCATTGTGACGGCAGAGAAAATTTGGCATAATTCTATTTTAACACTTAAAAATTCGCTTTAATTAAAATTAAGTTTGCTTTATACAAAATAGGGTTTGTTTTAAAGAAGGAAATATCTCTCCATCGTTTATTAAAACAAATGCAGCTGGTTGCAAATGGCATTGGTGCGTCGACGCTGGCGTAGGCTGAGCCTCGCGTTGACGCCAATCGGGTTTCCGATGCTGCCGGCGACTACTATCGATTATTTGTGTCATAAACACGTTGTGAGTTAAAGCCCGAATTTGGCAATTTAGCGTAACTTAGAACTTAGAAAATCAAAATGAAACTGACTTTGGCGGGGTATTAAATTACGTAAAGTTTCGACGGTGCAAATATAAGCAACATGATTAATGAAAATTTGCAACACGTTGCTAGAAATTCACACCGAACGTGATACTTTAAAAAATCGTGCTACACTGTGGTTGTGATTGCAACTCGAACAAGCCTTATATGCTTATTTATTTTGCATATTTGCAGTTAATTTTACATTTTAACCTAAAATGGCCACTGACGCACAAGCCAATAACGAAGACTACTCCCAAGAGTATGGGGATGATGACAACAGCCAAGAATATGATGATGATCAACCACAAGGAGATTTTGATGATCAAGAGGAAAATGACGACTACAATGACCAAAGCCAAGACCAGTCAGGTGGCGGTGGTACTAGCACTTCTGGTAGCCCTAAATATATACGTTTACGTGGCTTACCATGGTCTGCGACGCATCAAGAAATCTTAGATTTTCTGGGAAATGTTAATGTTGTTAATGGCTCAAAGGGTATTCATCTCATAACCAGCCGCTGGGATGGGAAAAATACCGGTGAAGCATACGTTGAAGTGCAGGCCCAAGAGGATGTTGAAGAAGCGCGCAAATTAAATAAGGGTAGTATGGGACATCGCTACATTGAAGGTAAGTGTAATGCAAAACGGGGAAAAATTTAAATAAAACCCCATTGTTTTTTTTTTTTAAGTATTCACCGCTAACCCAAAGGAAGCGAAAGAAGCCATGCGTAAAACCGGTAGCCATGGCGTATCATACGTTGTGAAACTGCGTGGACTGCCATATGCAGTTACCGAACAACAAGTTGAGGAATTCTTTAACGGTAAGTAGAGGCTTTTGTGGTTTTCACTTAGTTTGTATGTATAGCAACGTTAATGAAAATTGGAGTTTGCAATATTTTGAGTTTGGAAGGTGTTATTGGATACATAATTAGTTTTTTTTTTTTGGAAAAAAATCAGCAATCATATTTTAAAGTAATATGCTGATGTCTCTGTTGGCAAGGTTGGTATTTGTAAAACTTACCATTAAGCCTATTTGTTTTTGTTTAAAATAGGCAGTTACTTTTTAGAAACTCACCATATTTACTATTTAGTATATAAAGGGTTATCCATCTAAACGTTTGTTTTTTGTTTTTTTTTTTTTTTAATAAAGCACTTAGAACTGGATGTCGGAATTATTATTATTACCCGAAAGAACAACCTCTGACATATACTTTTTAAAAATAATTTTATTGAAATATTGGCTGCGACTACGCTGTAGGTGGTCCATTCGAAAGGTCCAATTTTCAATTAATCTTGCCAGCAATGCGCGTTTTGCATTATAGACTTCACATGACCCTAGGTGTGATCAAACGATACCTTTCTGAAACCAAATGTTGCCGATATCACGGGCTTCAATTTCAGCCAGCAAAGAGTTCGTCATATTGTTTGGGTAGCACTCGCCTTTGACGATTATGTTCTGTCTGCGCCCAAAATTTAAATGGAATTATGTGTTTTTAAAAAGTAAGTGCCAAATTACTCTTGCGGGTTATTAATAAAGATTCCGACATCCAGTTCTGTTTTTGTTTTATTTGAAATTAAAAAAAAAAGAAAAGNTCTGGGTCGTTCCGGTTACGTAGACCCGACTGTCGTGGGAACGACATATTGTTTGGGTAGCACTCGCCTTTGACGATTATGTTCTGTCTGCGCCCAAAATTTGAATGGAATTATGTGTTTTTAAAAAGTAAGTGCCAAATTACTCTTTCGGGTAATAATAAAGATTCCGACATCCAGTTCTGTTTTTGTTTTATTTGAGATTAAAAAAAAAACAAAACGTCTAGATGGATCAATCCGTACATAGAGTATTGGCCATATCTTTAGCACCCCCATTTCCTAGTGATATTGTTTGCCACTTATGTTTAATTATTAATTTTTAAGAATTTTCAATTAAAACAGTTCATTCTCTAACAAAACCCAAATAAAGCCAAGTTTTAAACTTTGTAAAATACTACAAAAAAATGCAACAAGTTTTCACGTAAATTTCAAATATTTTTCTCAGAAAGGTAAGAATTTGAGTACGCAGTTGTATAGCTCATTCAATTTTAGTCTATTTATGTGTAAGTTTCAAGGGGCTAAAAATAACCGTTAATTTTTTTAGATTTTTTTTTGTCGCACAACACCTACGAGAAAATTCTATAAAAGCAAAGGTTATTTTTAGCCACTTGAACCTTGCACATTGTTAGACTAAAATTGGATGAGCTATAAAACTGCGTACTCAAAAAAATTCTAACACTTCTGAGAAAAAAGTTTGAAATTTTTGTGAAAATTTGTTTAATTTTTTTTTTACAAAGTTTGAAACTTGGGTTATAATGGGGTTTTTTAGATAATGAACTGTATTTTAATTGAGTATTCCTAAAAAAAAAACACGAGTGGGAAACAATATTACTTTGAAATGGGAGTGTTATTGTATTGCCTAGTACTGTATACATACATATCTACGCATTTGTACAATCATTTGGTCTTTAAAATCATGTAGTTTTTTTGTTTAATGTTTTCAAGGAGAAATCTTTAGTTATAAACAAACAAACAAAATGTGTATTTAGCGATTTCGGCTAATAGTAATATTGATTTAACATATTTTACTTAATTTAGCAAATTTTTAGATAAGGCAAAAACCCTTTGTTCGTTCCTCTTTATTTAAAACCAATTGTGCAAACTTGGTGCCTCCACTACTCTTTCCAATAGCATTACATTACAACAGCAAGCAACGACACAGCGTTACAATATATGCAGCAATAATGATGATTTTTTTTTATAAAGTTTCTCATAGAACAAATACAAAAAACAAAAAAAAAATTGTATACTATGAATTGAAAGAATTCTTACATTTGGTTGTTATCGTCATGGGCAGGGTTGGAAATCAAACCGGATCGGGAGGGAATACTTTTTGTTATGGACAAAAGGGGTCGTGCGACTGGGGAAGCTTTTGTTCAGTTCGAAAGCCAGGAAGACACTGAACAAGCCTTGGGACGTAATCGGGAAAAGATTGGGCACAGGTGGGTTGTCACTATAATTTCTT